TATATATATATATACATATACATACAAATATACATATATATATATATATATATATATATATATACACAAGACAAACCTCTACATCTTTAGCAGTTTTCAATCCCAAGCTGCACCACTCATGGAGGAGGGCGAGGCGTTGGCGTATGCGGCGTTCTTCAATAAGAAGCTGCACCAGACGTTCCTGCTGCTCATCAGTTTGAAACCTAGCCAGGGGCCTGCATGCGGTGTACATACACCCGAAAAAAAGAAAAAAAATATTAAAAAGGAAGTGAAAAGTGTTGAGAAAGGGAAATGAATATACACATATTAGATGCAGAAACATACGAGGTGCAACTTTTGACGCTCCTGCTGCTGCTGCTGCTGCTGCTGCTGCTGCTGCTGCTGCTGCTGCTGTTGTTGTTGCTGTTGCTGCTCGTCTCACTTAAAGAGGTTGTGGAGATCTCTTTCTTCTTTTGTTCTTTTTTTGTCTCGCATGTGAATCGACTTAACGTCCAGCAACCCCCTGAAGTGTACACAGCCCCGCATGCAACAATCCAGCCCCATTGGGAACTGCTGCATGCAGGCCTGCATGCAGCGGACTGCATGCATGCATGCATGCATGCATGCATGCATGCATGCATGCATGCATGCAAAGTCTGTGGATTCAATCACAAAGAACACCCGCACGGGCATGCACAGAACTACACTACGCCCACAGAAAACAGGTGGGGTCGCCAACATCAAGCCCCAATCGCATGCATGCACGCATGCATGCATGCATGCATGCATGCATGCATGGGTAAGGGCGCACCTGCTGATGATGGTGTTTTTTCTGTATATGCGTTCGTCGAGTTTAGAATTATAAATCTCGATGATTTGTAGTTTCAGCTGTCTCTCCTGCACCGCCTCTCCGTCTGTACACCCCAAAACGCATGCGCATGCATGCACTCGTTTCTACGTCTTGTATGCGGTGTATGTACACTGCATGCATGCGTTCATGACATCTAATAAAACATAAACTACATCCAGCCCCATATACACAGACCTGCATTCCGCTGCAGCTACTCACACCAACGCAACACCAAAAAGCCCGTGCATGCATGCACCCACATGTATACAACCCCACGCATGCATGCATGCATGCATGCATGCATGGGTGTAACCGCACGCATACACCTAACCGCACGCATGCATGCATGCATGCATGCAAACGCATGCATGCAAACGCATGCATGCAAACGCATGCATGCAAGTGCGTGCATGCATGCATGCATGCGTACCCTTGAATTCCATATCAGCTAGGATGAGTTCAGCGTCGTTATCGAACTCGACGTCAAAGTCTCCGCGTAGGGGCCAGTAGCCGACGATAGAGTGAGAAGGTTTGGGGCTTTTGCGGGCGAGGGGAGTGGGGCTGGTCGTGCCGCCAACGGGCTCTGCGCATGCATGCACACGCATGCACACATGTGCATGCATGCAAACTTATGCATGCATGCAAACGCATGCATGCATGCATGCATGAGTGCATACAAAAGAAGAATCTTTTGGGCTTCAGTTCTGCTTTCCCCATCATACACATCATGATTTGCCCCCATGCGGTGTACATACACCTGGGCTGCAGATACACCAGAGCTGCGTATACACCTGAGCTGCGTATACACCTGAGCTGCGTATACACCTGTGTGCAGCGCGTACGTATATATATATATATATATATATATATATATATATATATATATATATATATATATATATATATATATATAAATACCTGGTTCAGTTTTCGTTAGTTGTTGTGCTTCTCTGAGTGTTTTAGCTTCTTCTGGTGTGATAGCTCCCCCATCTTTGTTTTGTATAAGTGCAGATAAATCAGGAAGAGGAGAAGTTGGAGAATTTAAATAAAAATTTAAATAATGGCGTTCACATTGATCTGCTGTCTTTGGCTCCATTGATGCATGCGATACCAACTCAGCCACCTCCTGAGACACACAAATAAATAAATAAATAAATAAATAAATAAATAAATAAATAAATATATATATATATATATATATATATAT